TTTTTTTCATAGTACAATTCTCTGCCAGGAAAACAATAAAGATATACTGCTAAGAATGGGCAAGCCTGAAGATGCTTTCAAAATGCTAGCTGTTTGCTTTGGGGAAAGTTTTCTTTATAGATATATCTGTATAACACACACACACACACACACACACACACACACACACACACACACACGTTCCAGAGGTTCTAATTCCAGTATGTTTTTGAAACTATTATTATAGGTTAGAAGCTATAACGCCAGTTTAGTTGAATGCCTGGTAGGCAGATAAGCGCCGGGGTCCTTTCCTGTGGGTCTATGAGCCCTTTGGACAAGCGCTGTAGTTAATTGTTTAGTGCAGTGGTTATAGATTCATTAGCTTTCTTCTCTAACACAGTAATTTTTCTTTAGAAAAAGGGCATGATGTGGAAATCATTCTCCAAACCCGCAAATTCCATTTTAATGTACGGCTTACATACATCTTATGTGCATCTCCTATCTCATGAGCACACTGGGCACATGCTGCTGGGCTTCCCAAATGTGGCATAGCCCACCGATGAGTCCAACTTGCCAGTGGGGCTGTTCCATTATTGGAATGAAAGGAATTTTAACACTATTTAGTCAAAGTTCCAAATGCACTGCAAAAGGGAAAGCAAGACTTTCTTATTTGATTCCTTTCTGTTTCTTTCCTTCCTCTTTGTTTTTAAACTTAGGAATCTCTTTGTAATAATGCACATTTGGGCGGGATAGAGTTCGTTTTGTTTAGTTCTGTTTACTATTCTCTTCCAAAGTTTCAGCATGTCTGAAAGTGTTTTCCAGTGGAGGTTAACTCTTTTTTCAAGCCAGTGCCTCGGCCTCATTTTCACTCTGCTGCTGCTTTATTTCCTAACGTCTGGGGCCCAAACTGGCTTCTAATATTGAACTGCCTTGTAGAATTCTATCAAGATGCTTAATCACTTTAATTATTATGCAATTATGCTTCTCTTCAACTCAGGTCCCACTTTTTGATAAATAATTGCAGCCATTGCATGACGAATGCCACTCTTATTCTAAGAATATATTTGCCTAAAATCTCCCTTCTGGCATTGACTTTTGGTTCAAGTGTCATACCAATTTCCTCCTCTCCAGAGGGGTGGTATGTGTGTATTTTCTGGCTGTAAGCAGAGAAATAAAAACCTCTAAAGCTGAGGACGGCTAATTTACAGCATATTTGAGAAGTTTTGCAATTAAGGTTTCTGTCTAGAAAAAAGTAAGTGTTTGGGGGACTTGCATTCAAGTTCATCAAGACAGGTTAGTATAAGAAGTGTAGATAGTGTCTTGTGTTCTGTGCAAAAAGGCCAGGAAGGCCTATGAGAAACTGTCCAGAATTCGTCAGCCTGAAGAACTGCCTGTTTCCTTAAAAATCTGGACTTGACGATGGGTTACAATATTATCTCATTTTTAAAAGGAAAAAGAATTGAAAACAAAATAAGACAAAGGTCATTGTGTATAGTTATATTTTCAAAACAGTGTTGGCTTTGTCTGCTATTCGATTAACTTCCAGGGAGGCCTACCAAAAGAGAAAATGGCCTGTATTTGTAACATGGTTGCAGGGATTTGTGTCAGTTTTAAGTGGGTCAGGGTTTAGGAATTCAACTGAAGGTAAAAGATTCCTTTTTCAAGTTATCTTTCAATTAGATCCCGTTTATAATCTGGTTTGAGGACAAACAGCAATACATCAAAGCACAGCTTTTGCCCCATGAAGGCATTAATTTCTTCTTATATTTATATTTTGGGAACTCATGTAATCCCTAGTTTGTCTGTGTGGAAACAGCTCTTCGAATATTCCTAGTGAAATGTAGTTAGATAACAGTTAAACCTGGCATGAACTAGACATTCTGTGGGGAAAGGGTAGGCTTTATTTTTTCTCATTTAAAACAAACGACTTGCATTTTTTTAAAAAAAATAAAAAATTCTTTTAAATTAAAAAAAAGTCAAAGTGAAATCAAACAACTTTGATTTGTGCAAAGTGTTTATATTTAGTCTTGTCAAGGCCGTGCCAACAAGAAAATCAGGGCATGTAAAGGAAGAAGAAAAAATAATTACTTTTGGCCAAATGGCAGGAATTGTTTATCTTTACCATTAAATGTCTATGTTTTCATGCACCTCTAGTGAGTCAGATTTGCTGGTCCCATCTCTCTAGATGGATTTGCTCCTGAGTCAGAAGCTCAAATCTGTTCAGAAAGATCTATTCTTGTGTGTGTGTGTGTGTGTGTGTGTGTGTGTGTGAGAGAGAGAGAGAGAGAGAGTATGTATATGTGTGTGCATCTGTCTCTTTCTTTTCTGCCTCTTTCTTTCTCTCTCTCCCTCTTTCTCCCTTTTTTAATGGCTCAGCCCATTAAAACTAAAAAGTTTGGGGAATAAAAATTGAGATGTCATCATTTATATCTATATTAAATAGTATTAATGATTAAATGGTGCCAATCTCCGCCACTCTCAGAATAGCCTATAACTTCACCTAGAGCTGTTGCCTGCAACTCCCCTGTTCAGAAACCAAAGAGGATGCATTTTTTGCACTTCACGTTCAAGCTCCAATACATCCAAGACATGGGGCCCAGTTAATCTGTACACTAAGAAACGGAACAGAATCAAAAAAAAGCAGTTTATTATTGTAGATTACTCTTTCTCTTGATATAACCAGAATTGAAAATGAAAGAGAAGCATGTAGAACATCACGCGTGGTTAGTTAGTAACTCAAGTTATAAAACAATTTTGCACAGCAAAATATGTAAAAGAAAAGTAACTGACAAAAGATTTTTTTATATTTATTGTGGTAAGATTTACTTTTCTTTCTTTCTTTTCTTTTTTTTTTTAAAAGACAGGATGTCAGTCCCTGAAAATAACATTTACTGGTTATTGCCTTTAAAACTGTGGATTTTTTTTAAGTTACAGAAAATCCAGTTCTGCACCACAACACAACTGTAAAAAATCTGCATTGCTTTAAAACTGTGCAGTAATGCCATTTTTATAACTGCATAAATTTTATTAGCGTTCTAAACAGTTTTGCGATTTTTTTTGTATTATATGCTTGCAGGTTATATCTTAGTGCAATTCAGTCCCAAATACTTTAATTTTGGAAAAAAACATACATTTTTTTGAATGTAAAATACCCCTACAGATATAAACAGGGGCATTTCCCCTTTAATACTTTGGTTTTCAATACAGTCCATGGTATAGCAAGAACTACACATACCCAACTTATATTTAAGTTGCGAGCACATGCTTCAGAAGCTACTTTTTAAACAGTCCCCTTGCAAACTCTACCCCCCTTAACATCACAACAGTAAACAATTTAGTGCATCGGCCTTTAAAAAAAATCTACAGCTACACAGACCTAACTCTTTCAAATTTATCTATAACATTCCTTTATCTGTAGCATACATTTTAACTGGGCTAACAGATTATAAAAACTATAATTAAATTATATACTAGAAACCCATAGCATTCCACATTTGACAATGACCAAAAGCCAAAAAAGAATAATAATAATAATAAAATAAAACAAACCAAAAAAAATAATTGGGGCAGATTTCTTTTTCTTTCTTCTCAAAGAAAATTTAGACTGCTTTTGGCAACCGCACAACTTAAAGTGCCCCAAAGCAGGCGTCATTGTTACTAAAAAGAAAATATTTAATTTATGTTCTATAATATTTGCCATGTAAATTTGTAGCCCATTCTGGTATCTTTGACAAGGAATGCCTTCAGTGCATTTACAATGGGAGGCTGAAGTTCATAGTAACTCAAAGCAGTCGGGAGTAGAAGCAAACTTTCAAGGGAAGAAGAGGCTTTGGGGTTGTACTTTTTCTGTTGTTGTTCTGAACTCAAAAAAGTCATGAGGCTGTAAAACAAAAGTATGGATGCCATGCGCTAAGTCTTCAAAAGTCCATTTCCAAGCCAAAAGGGAAAAAAGGAAAAAAAAAATAATTATACCATACATGTCCAGCATGCAGGTTTTTTTATTAATATAATGTCTCTTTTCCATAATGTCTTTGAAACTGTTATAGTTCATTGTTGCTAAGACAAAGTAGCAAGCATCGTAATGCATGAGATGAGAGTAAATTTGTTTTTGTGTCTTTTTGTTTGTTTGTTTTTTAATGGCAGACTAAACTTCCAGATTTGGCAATGTAAGGCCAAAACTCAGGAGTCACACCCAGAAGCTTGATGCAGGCTTGATTGTGGCAGGTTCAGGAGGGGCTTTAGTTCATTCTGTTTTAGCATAACAATGCTGAAAAACCCGGTGGAACTCAGCACGCTGCAAGGTCTATAGCATTTCACATTTCTTTTTTTTCCTTTGCAAGCTCAATCTCACAGAAGAACTCAGGAGAAAGAAAAAAAAACTGCTGTTTTTTCTTTAATCTCAAGAACATGGTGCAGAGGGAATGAGGGCGGAGGTTGGGAAACACGGCAAGCTCCAAAAAATAAACAAAAACAAAGAAAAAACAAAAGAAAATCCAAACAAAATAAACACACACACACAGAGAGAATGAACACCAGCTCATGAACTGAAAAAAAAAGAGAAAGAAAGAAAGAAAAAATACAGGCGACTGATGGCCGGATTCAAAGGTGAGCTATGTCCTACATGAAGTACTCTGCTCAGATCTTTGACCCTTGTGCAAGTCCGGGGTGTGTGTTGGGAAGGGGGCGGTGTTAAAAAAAAAAAAAAAGAACAAAACAACCAAGCTAGCAAGTTATGGGGAATTCAGGTTGGCAATTCATGAGCCAGACACCCCCTTCCCTCCCCAATTCAAAACAGTCACCACCACCACAAGTTTGGTGTGTGTGTGTGTGTGTGTGTGTGTGTGTGTGTGTGTGGTGTGTCTGTCTGTGTCTGTGTGTGCAAGGCCAAGGGGAGCAAACTCGCCAGGGGTGGGGGCGAGGTGGTGGCGAGCGCGGCCCTGCAACTAGCAAGCCCACTCAGGAGCCGGACCCCCATGGAGCATTTAACAAGGTGGCTAGCTGGGATCGCGTGTCACACTCACATGAAAAATTCGGGAGAGGACGGGTTGTCGCTGCTGGAGCCGTTTTCTCGGAACCCGCTGCTCACCAACTTCTCGTATTTCTCCTTGTAGGCGTCCCTTTCGCGCACCAGCCTGGAGATCTCCTGCTTGAGGTGGTCGACCTGCTGCAGCAGCTGGTTCTTCTCCGACTCCAGGACGTGTCTCTGCTGCACCCTCTTGAAGCGGCAGGACTGGGCATAGCCGCGGTTTTTCAGGGTCCGCCTCTTCTGCTTCAGTCGGATCACCTCCTCCTTGCTGACCCCGCGCAGCTGCCGGTTCAGCTCGCGCACCGACATGGTCACCAACTGCTCGTCCGAGAAGCGGTCGTCGAAGTGCAGGCCGCCCGCGGCAT